TTCTGGGACTGAAGATGTCTTTTTAAGCGTAGTCCCTTCATTAGTCGGTATGGATGAAGTAGCTTCAGCGGAGGATGATGGAGCAGGAGCTGCTGATACCTAAGCCTTCAAAGGAGAGGCTGAACTTTTCTGAGAAGTCCAAATAAACCATCAGCACATAGAAAAGTTTCAAGTATGGAAAAATATGCTTGTGAGTAAACCAATTTAATTACCTTCCTCCTGATGATAAGAGGGGTGTCATCATCATCATCAACATCATCCTCCAGAATGGGAGATGCTGAGGCTGGCCGTTTGTGGCTCGAGGCACTTTTGACTGCAGTAGGCTTGGCAGGGAGAGAAGAAGATGGACGAGCAGACTGTTTAGCGCGACGAGGAGGAAAAGGACTCCGGATGGACAAAGGGGTGACTAAAACAGGAGGAGGGGAAGAAATGCGTGGCTGGTCCAGTGAATGAAAGTCACGATTGGCATCAGTCGCAAATAATCTGCGCTTCACTGACGGCCAGAATTGTTCAAAAAGGGGATGGATGGCACAGTTAGAATTGAAGGGGGCTAATGAAAAATGACTCGTCAAAAGAAGATTGCGAGCATTTATAACCTCTGCCTCCGCCTTATTAATGATATGGAAGTGGTCTATCAAATTCCTTGAATAGCAAGGAGGAACAGGCTAGGTTTGGCCAAAATCAAGTTCGTGAGCAAAAAATTGGGGAGCATATATTTCTACCCCAGCCTTGGCATTGGTCCCAGTCAAAATATCATGAAATAACTCCCTCCCGGTTAAAAACTGGATCCAAATGAGTAGAGAGGTGCTCACGTTGTCTATAGTGGAGGGAGGATGCACATAGTCTGGAGTCAAAAAGAGAGAAAAAGAAAAGAAAGAAGGGATTGAATCTAAAGAATAAAAGAATGAAAAAATGTCCCTTCTAGACATATTTACAGGGGCCAGGGGCTCAATGGCTAGCCCATAGCAGCTAGCAGAAGGACGAGAAAATGATGGAGCACCAAGCGATGGAAAATAGGATCTCAACCACATTTGAGTGAACCAAAAAGGTTTACTGCCAGTGGAAGATGCACCATTCTTCAATTGAGATTGAAGAGAAGTCATGCCTCTATAGAGGGCAGCCAAAAAGAAAGAACATAAATTCAGAGGCCTACCACGCGCCAATTCGTGCGCTATGGGTAAATAGCTCAGGGAGGGCTTTATGCTTGGTACACACAAAACATATTTACAAAGCCAAACCAAAAGAAAGGCCACTCGCTCAGTATGGGAAGGTTCAGCGCTCAAGTGGTTATGAAGGGTTTGCAGGCTTGAATAAGACTCGGTGAGGTTTTTACCAAACTTTGGGACGCCACCAGAAACCAAGATACCAGGAAAAATGGTATCGCCCAAAGGTGGCAAATTCACTAGGGCCCCAATATCCCTTAAAGTAATAGACATGGGGCCAAGAGGGAAAATAAATGTATTGTACTCAGAAGACCAAAAACTTAAAGCGATCGAAAAAAGTGCTGAATCAAAAGTAGGGGGTTGAAGAGAGATTTCTAACAAATTAGAAATCCTAACATTATCAAAAAGTGCCTTAGTAGGACCATGGTCCATAAGGCGAGCATGCCACCTACGGAAAACTACATCAAATTTAGGCCAAGTGCGAATACCTCTTTCTCGAAGTGGCCCCAGCGGCAGAGAGTTTAGAAATGGAGGGCCTTGAGTACAAGGAAACAGCTGGCCCACCGCCGCTTGTTCGACTGCCTCTGCATTGTTGAAGAAAGGACCTAGGTAGAACTCATTGAGTTCGACATTGGCAGGTGCGAGAAAGTTCGGAGTTATGTATGGACGATTAAGGAGTTTCTGAAAGACATCAAAAACTAAAGGAGTCGCCGATTGAGATTGTGAAGTAGCCATTAGGGACGAAACGGAGTTTTTCAGAGTTACGTAGCAGGAAAGCAAAGAGATGAACAGTAAATTGTGGGAGAGAAACGTGAAAAAGTGAGGCGTGATTTAATGGTGCAGTGAAATGACATATTTGGGGATTATAAGGGTTTGCAAAACGTCGCACCTTTTTAAGCTATGGAAGAAAACAATGATTGAAATTCTTGAAAATTTCGAATGTTGCTGGAAACACAAAGTGAATATGGCAAAATTTAATAATTGGTATTAATTCTGCCATATTGGGGGGTAATTGTTGACACATAAAAATTCAGCCCAAATCAAACGGCCCAAGGAATGAAGCCCAATTGGAGAATCCCCAAATCAGATAGCCCAAAGAACAAAGTCCAATCAGACAATTCAGGATGAACGCCCAAATAGGGAAACCCATGAACGCGGTAATACCATCGCCCAAACTTGCAAATCGCCCAGGATCTGAACGAACGGAGTGCCATGCAGTCGCCCAGAACTGCTACTCTATTCTCGCCCAAACTTTCGAGTCACCCAAGGTCTTAGCAAACGTGAAGTGTTGTGGTTATCAAGAAGTGCACTTATCAAAGCAGTTATTAAAGCAGCCCTATTATGTTCCACGATTCAAGGAATTCAATTGAAGACGATTGAACGACAAAAAGTAATATCAGCAGTTAGAAAAGGCAGTTCCATGACAAGTTGGCCATTACGAGGAAAGTGGAAGTTATAGAAAGATCAAACAGTTTTTAGGCGGTTGATCACAAAAAAATCATCCAGAGAGTATAAAAGGAAGAAAAAACATAGAGCAAAGGACCCCGAATAAAAAAACTCTCGAACAGAGAATATGTAATTTTAAATTTCTTAGTTTAGATTTAAACACTTCTTTCAGTAACTCGTGTGCTTGCGCCCCTTGGAGGTATTTTGTTTTTACTTTCCAATTGTAAAGTCATTGCCAATAAAAAACACCCATTTTTGGGACTTTGTCTCAAAATGTTTGTCCCTTACACAATCGTCTAATCCCTTTTTAATTGTTAGCGACAAACCCGCGCGAAACAAAAAACATATATTTTATCATTGAAATATCGTTTATCTCTTTATTTTCTTAGAATGTTTGTTTGAATGATTTAATTTTATTTTTCAGGTGTTACACCGTAAACTCTCCATCTACTCAATCATTCTATCACTTTCGATTGGTCCACCACAAATATACACTGATGGTTTTCATTTTTGAATGCACAGGTCTTGTTGTTAACCTAAGATGGTGAAGTGAATTCAATTCAAAAGTATTAAACTTCTATGAACCTTCGTTGTTGTAATTTTAAGATATAAAAGATGATGCTTACTTGGGTTGTAGATTAGAAAAATTAAACCATAAAACCCAATGTTTATTTCATTTCAACAAATTTTAAATTATGTACTTAAGGGTTGATTTCATTTAGTCTTGAGTTTATGTTGTTCTCTTAATTTCAAGGAAATCAGGCTATAAACTTTCAAGAATTGTCTTTAATTTTAAAGTGCTTTCTTATACATGTTTACTACGATATTATGTTTAATATCATGTGAAGTTTTACGTTCCACTATTTGCTAATCAAAGTTGAGATGTTGTAACTATATATATAATATAAAAATACATCCACAAAATTAAATGTTTGTGTTCTAACATGAAATTTTACGCTCCACTATTTGCTAATCAAAGTTGAGATGTTGTAACTAATATATATAATATAAAAATACATTAATCGGTCCAAAAATTAAATGTTATGTGTTCTAAAATAGTTTCTCCTTTCCAAAATCCCTTCTAAAATTGTAACAGTCATCGTGTAGCGCACAGTCCGCAACTAGTACACATCAATGTCAAAATAGCAAGAATATTGATGCTAATGGAGAGAACCATTTTGTCTCTTAAAGTGGTTGTTCTAAGTACCTAGATTTGACTATATACAAGAAAGAAAAGGATGTATTGCATAGATAGGATGTGTTGGATGAATAGTTAAGTATTACCACAATCTTGTCTAACAGGGAGATCAATACGTATAATTTAAAATATACGTCAATAAGTGGAGGTAACGTTGATTAAGGATAAGTTTAAGAATTGTATACTTAGATGGTGACTACATATTTTGATGTAGATTGAAGAGCCTCTCAAGCCCTCGACTGATTCTAACATAGATTATTTCTATAGAGCAAGTGAGAAGTAAGAGATATAGACAAAAACTAATATTACATGTACTCAATATTGAGTGATTTAATTGTTTTGTATCTTTAGATAAATCTAGAAAAGGATAAAATAGAATGTTTAAAAAGTGTTTTCATGTGAAGAAATATTCTATTTGTACAAAGAATTTGTATATATAGGTGTCATTCATTTGTCAAATTACCTGTACATATTACTTGTAGATGTTACCTGTACGTGTAGCAAAGTTATTCTATAAATTGGTCGATATGTTTTAACATTCTTATATTTTATTTATATATGGATATTATGCATCATTAAGTTTAGATTTGTGGCATAAATAACATTACTCTTTAAAAAATAATGATATCTGGTACCATTGATCCACAACATCAATTGAAGTGGCATTATGTAAAAAGTTCAATGATAAATAAAATTAAACGAGTAACTTAAAGTTATCTTTCATTAAGTGTATCACATAGCATCATTTAAACTGATTTTGTAGCAATTGATGTTAATCAAAATACAGCAAACTTTCTCCTGCACAAGGGATTTCTGGGATAAATGTTGTCCTAAGACTTTATCAGATTATAATCAGTATTATAATCTCGATTTGCAAAGCCTGAGTCACCGACTCTTTTTTCAACAGACTCATGCAGTAGAACTTCGTAAAATTATCAAGGCTTTTATACTAAAGAGTCACTCTTCGAATATGAGTAATGATATAAATCAACTAAGTTGCATTAGCAAAGTTGTTGGTCAATGATTACATATACAACAAACAACGAACTAAGTCCTATTTTCAATAATAACTTTATTACAAATCAGATACTCAAAAGTATCCTCCACCACCAAATGATATCTACTTCAGTAAGCAAAATTTTGAGTTGAAGAATTTTCTTAAATAACTGCAATTGCAGAAAATCCTGCAGCCAAAAGAATTAAAAAGTGAAAAGTTCCAGTTGCACATTAAGATAGTAATTTATCCCCTTAAACTGAGTAAACACACTCAACAAAAAGGAAAAAAGAAAAAAGGAATGCAAATACAAGCCTTTTGAACTCATCATGTCTACGGTCTACCCAAATATACTTCATTTTCCATAAAAATCAGAGATCTAACAATAAAATGCCAGAAGCTCTAGATAGTCCCCCAGGGAACCTAGTCATATAAAAAGGGAAAACCAACTAGATACTAAGTTTTATCTCATTTCTCAGGCGCAGGAGAGAGAAGATATGAGCTATAGATAGTAAACTAGTAGTATATTTCATGCCATTCGGTTGCAAGATTCATCGCAAACAAGTTTGAGGTTGGGACATGAAGTTTAAATTGATAAAAGTAAAACAGTTGTTTGTTTCAATTAATCATGTCTAGTTATCCAGACGAGAAAATTTTGAACTGAATTTTTTTTATTATTTATTTTTTTTCCCCCCGAGTGTTAACTGTCTGGCTTAAGCTGGACCCTGCAAGTGTCCGGGGTGGAACAAATGGACTTGGCATGATATAATGTGGTTGGTGTAAAATCTACTACAAAGTGGCATGATGCAGAAAGTGCCATACATAGTGCTAAAATGAAGATAAGTCAACCAAATATTTAAACTAAAGATAAGGTAACAAAACAAATTTAAGGCCCAAAATGACTCAAAACTGTCAAAATAAAAGAGATAATACCAGAATACTTGCAGCATACGATCAAGCAGACAGAGCTGTTGCCTTTCCGACTGTTTTGCTGTCAAATATTTCAATCCAGTAGCCATCGGGATCTTTAATGAATGCTATATTCTTCATACCTGCAATCAAATTGCATCAATTATGCACAGAACAGAGTGTTTTCCAAGATACTCAAACAATTTTTGTCAACAATCCTGAAATACTCTCTGGAAAACATATTTTGGCTTTAAATATCGAAATGTAACAAGTACTTTTTGGTGGAATTATACATAATATAGGACAGTAAATCTAGAGTTAGAGAGTAAATAGGTTTGAATGTCCAAACATCCAGCCATATCAATGAAGATCATCTTCGGGAAACCGATCATATATGATACTTTCTATAATAAACAAAATGGAAGAATAGAAAACGAGTAAGTTTATAGTGGTTCAGCATCGGAAGTTATGTCCACTGCAGATTTTTTAATGTAACAAAGAAGGAGATTACAAGGTATTCTTCCTACACCTTGTCATAAATGGCCTACTTGGATCATAGTGTAGGATAGATCAATCTGCAGTCGAGAGGTTAAAAGAATGTACAATTAGACTCCACAGTCCAACAATATTTTTCAGCCAACTAGTGATATGTAAGTGTAAAAATTTAGGGAAAGCTTAATTTTTGCTTAGAAGAGTCTGCATTAGTATATGCTTCAGTAAAATATTTGCACAAGATACTATCTGATCTCCTATTTTTGAAACTATCCTCATTGTGATTACCTTGATATATAATTCATCATTAGCTGTTCAGATTCAAGCTAGAATAATTTTTAATGGAGTTGCCTAATAGAAACAATCAATTCGCGGTCAATCAATAATGCAAGTCTGGAAAGACCAAACAAGGCACTCTATTTTCTATGTCCTGGGCTTAAAGTTAACATTGTACTTTTACATCAGAGAAAAAATGAAACACGGCAAACTTGTTAAGCCCCCGTTTAATTCTCATTCTTTGGCCCAAAAAATGAAAAATATGACCTTTATCCATCATATCAAATCACCATATTTGACTTTCTATATCTTGTATGGGTCCCATAACTACTATATTTTTCATTCTCATTCTTAAATCTATGGGAATCAAATGAGGCCTAATTGCCCAAAGATTTAGGCATTGTGCCTTGTCAAGTCGGGAATGGAAATACATCAATTATTCCAAGCTGAATCCAAGTGAAATAATTAATGATGATACCTTATCCTGATTATTTATACTGTCAATTCTGATTCATTCCATAGGATTATAAGTTGTATTAAAAAATTTATATTAGCTATCAGGAAGTTTCGTTAAAACTATCCCATTTGTATTTATTCCAGAATATCCTGAATATTACTGCAAATTATATTGTGACATTATCTTTCATTCAAGCAAATTTGTGATGGGAAGTTTTGAACCAAGACCTGATGCAAGAAATTCAAATTTTCAGACATAGAAGGGGAATGTAAATGAAACACCCATGAATGTGGAAGGTTTAAAACCAGATGTCAAAATAAAATTATACCAAATAAACTTCAGAAATTAAAAGGATTACGTTACCATCATTAGGTTTCTTTACAAATTCCACGTTCAAACTTTCAAATCTCTTGCACGCCTTGTTTACATTGTGTACAGTAATACCTATGTGCCCTGAAAGCATTATGAGACGTATTAGCCATTCAAATATCGTATAAGCTCAAATAACTCCTAGAAAGTAAAATTCATTTTGCAGAGAAATCATTATCGGTTCCAGTATCATATTAAAAAGGCAAGAAAAGAGAAACTGAAGAGATTTATCGCCTTTGATGCATAATTATCCAACAAAAACAAAGCTGTAGAACTCGATAGCATTTCTCATCGGATGTTGAAATTTACTGGGAACAAAGAAACTAATACAGGACGTTCACTTTACAATCAAGGTGGTTTGAATAATGAGAATCCTTCACATCAGGAAAATATAATACCTGTTCATCGATAAAACTGGTCAATGATACATGTATGTTATTCATTCCTATAATCCATCAATTTAAAAATTACTACACAAGCATAAGAAACTAAAATAAAAAACTATCTTAAAATGGTTTAATATTTTTTGGTGTAGGCGGCTACATTCTAAAACATAGTTAGGCAATCAATTTCTTACGAATAAATATGCAAAAAACACAGCATGGCACTGCCCCAAAAAAGGAAATCATATATAAAGGTGAATGACAGAGTCGATGAACTTGATCTAGGGACGCAGAAGTTTATCAAGTTGCAAGATTCTGTTTTCAACCACAATGTTTAAGAAGACCATAATGCAAGCACCAACACAACTTTCATCTCACGAAATGCAAAACCAGACAGCTCATAAGTCATGACATCTAACATTCAATATATAGCATTTAATAAGAAGTGGCACTTTAATAATCTCATGTTATAAATAAAATTCCATTTGAAAGTCACAAAGGGTGTGCACAATCCCGTAGAAAATTAGATATTTCATCAAAGTTGTCCCAAGTAAATAGGCATAAAAAAAGATACAGATACACTAGATTTTTAAACCTCACGAGCTATTTTACAAAAATAAGAATAAGAAAGAAGCATGTTCAATTAGAATGTTTTACTAACCATATCCCCGAGGTTCTGAGTTCCCAATATGGTAACCCCTAAAATCAGGATCATTCTCAGTACCCCATTCACTGTGACAAAAATCTAATAGTTAACATGAAAGAACCATATGGATGTGATTTTTAACTTTTTCTGCTCCTAAAAATGGAAGCTCTTACTGCGCAAGCTCAAGGGTAGCTTTCTGACCAAAAGTCCAATTAGTGCGCTCAACGGGATCATTTGGAGCTGAAGAAGTGTCCTGCACGACCCATATGTAAAAGGATTCAAAGAAACTCAAATCTTCCAATATCCTAATTTTCTCCACCATTTTCGAGTAGAACAAAAATATATGCATAAGCACACTAAACACATGTATGCGCAGAGATTAAAGCCTAGAATGATGTTTGATGTTTTACCTCATATCCCAAAAGATATACAGTAAGCTTGTAATCTGAAAAATCCAACCTCTTAAGCAACCTATGTTCCAGAAGGATATAATCATAAAAACTTAGTTCCACCTATTCAAGCAATAACATCAACAGGTTTATTGAACATAACAATTAATCTGCATGTCAAATTTAAATTTAAATAACTTGTTTATAAATAAGATTTTCAAATCATGCAAATCAAATAGAAGATTGCTTCGCGTGTGTGGTTGTTTTGGGAAAGGGTTGGAGTTGATACTTGAAATCCTGAAATGGGGTTCATTCTAACAACTTATTGAAACACATAGTTCAACATCATTATGTCATATTCCCCACCATTCGTAGTAAATAGGTCGAGACCACGAGAACTTTGGACATTTTAATCTTCTACATAAATACTTAAAAGAACTGAAAAGCTGTTGGAATTATAAATACTAGTGAATAAGACATATGAAACCAAAGTCTCAGTTTCATAACACTAAAATTCCAATGTCATAGTCCATTACAAATGCAGCGAAGTTACAAGGTAGTTAAATGCTCCCAGGGCACATCTTCAAGTAGTAAAAGGGGAAGGTGGAGAAATCCAACTTTGCTTGAGGCTGCTGCGTCAAGAGTTCGAATCCTGAAATATGGATTTGGCTATTGGGTAAGTACAAGTGTACAAGCAGCCTTCCACCCTATACTCTTATAGGCATAACCTGCGATTTACCTCTCTCACGATGCTTCAGGACAGGGGTGGTGGGAGATTCTTAACGTTAGGGTTTAACCTTTTAAGTTACAAGGTAGTTAAAGAATTCAAAAAGCAAAACCAAATGTATTGGCATAAGCATGACATCATAATTTTAGGAAAAAGTAAAAAAATAACTATAAGCAACATGAAAAACAAATTACAAATTGAATAATAAAGCAGCTCGTTGTTTCCAAAATTGAGAAGACTTACGACATGCCCATTACTCGAGTGTAGAAATCGAGACTGACTTTGGGGTCCTTTACTCGATAATTCTGAACACAACAAAAATGTGTGTTCCAATTATGAACAACAACAAAAATAACAATCCTAATTCCTAATAATGGAGGTCACTGAAGAGCTTACTGTTTGTTGCAAGAAGAAACCTATGGTCTCCTCATCAGGACTAGTGTGGAGGCCAGGGTTGTTGGAGGCTGACTCTTTGGATGCCATTGAAATACCTCAAAACCTGCCAAATAAAAAAAAAAAGGACGTTTGAGATTCAAAATCGATACGTACGAATATGGGTATTAGAAAACAAAAGTAAACGCATTTGAACAAAAATCAAGCCATAGATGAAAGGCCAAAGGGTTCAAGGATTTTGCACCTTTGATTTGATAGTGACAATCGTAGGGTGTGAAGACAACAGGGAGGAGGCTTTGCGAGTATAAATAACATGGAAGAGGAGGGAAAGTTCAATGTATCAGTCAGCAATGAAAATGAAGATGCCAGGGATAGATTGTTTATTGACCCAGAAAATTATTTATGTGATGATAAAGGTGTTACAATTTGACTCGACATCGAAGTATGACATGCTTGTTGACTTTTGTTTTCCTTATTATAGATCATTATTTGAATGATCTTTTACAGGATGATAAAATGTGTAGTTAAAAAGTTGTGGATCTCATAAAATGAGTAGTTAAAAATTAATCGTTGATTTTTACTTAAATTAAAATCTAAATATTATTTCTACCAAATACAAGTATAGTCACATAGAGAAGAGTTGCTTGATGTCTTGTTAGCTCATTGGACATTTTCGAGACTTGTAAAAGACGATCCTCAAAGCATACATGTTGCAAGGCTCGAAAAATAGGAACAAAATTTTTTATTCTACTAATGGCGAGTGATAGATAACTCACTCGATAGAATTTGCACAACCACTTTAGTAATATCTTTTTGAAGCACATTACTCCCGTCAATATTACGAGTTCAAATAAAACAAATCTAGAACCTTCAACATTATTTGTTCACAAGCATATACAAATTTTTTTTTCTTTTAAATCAAAGTAAGAAATGATAAATATAAAGAATAATAATAATGTACCTTGTTTATTATTGGAGAATGTTAAAATACAATATATATGAATTGGTCCAACTATGGTCCAGTGGTGCAAATGACAGGAGTGAAGTTATCTCACGTCTTGCTGGCAGCCACAGTATTGAGGTTCGATTACTGAGACATGAACTTGGACTATTTGTAGGTGCAGTGTACAGATAGCTCTTGTTCCCTGACCTGTTGGGACACATCCCGCGATTTACCTCCCTTACAAAACTCCAGAGACAAGGCGGTGGGGGTCCTCAAAGTTGAGGTTCAATCTTTATAATTCAAATGTATGGTATCATAATATAGTAGTCATTTTCGTGGATCAACTGAAGATTTCAGAAATTAGAAAGGCACAATTATTAGAACGCCCAAAAATATTAATATTTATTCATTTTACTTCCCTTTTAAATATCAAATTTCAAGCACTGCAAAATTGACCCAGTTTATTATACTTAACTATATGCCATCTTTATCTTTAAATAATAAATGTGTAAATGATTGACATATATAATTTAATATATATATCGCGCGTATATATATTGACTGTAATATTGTATGATATATTGATTGAATTGGAAATTTATTTTCAACAAGAGCAAAAAAATATTGCCGGAAAGCCTGAGAAAGAAGGGGGAAAAATCAATTTCGTTGACTGGGAGAAACTTATAATTTTATATAATTTAGTAAAAATTAAAAAACAATCGATCGAAGAATATAACTAGCTGTTGAAAAAATCAAAACAGTGACAAATCCTAAGAAAAAAGCTAAATATATTTCCACCAATATGCTAATTAACTACATTTTAATTATACTAAGTCCATGTTTGACAACCATTATTTGCAAATTCTTTTTTATACATATTCATTTTTAATCACAACTCCACACAATAAAACATTCTGTACGTAAATAAAAAAATTTTTTTACCACGCATTCTTTTAAAAATCATTATTCAAAACATTATTTTGACCAAATAATGACCATCAAACATGGCTAATCCCCATATGTTAGTGGGAATTAATATTAGCTTTTTGATAAATTTTGATAAAAATTGATGAAATATATTATTGAAAAGTTGTGGATTTCATAAAATATGTGATTAAAATTAATTGTTGACTTTAAATTAAATTAAAATCTAGGTTTTAATTCCTGTCAAACAGGTGATTACTTATGATCACTATTCGAACTTTTTTTATTATATTCTTATTCTCAAGATAAGAAAAGTTGTCTCTAATGATGATTTTTGTTCAAAAATTTCGTTAAGATAGAATAAAACATAGTTACCCCTCATATTTTTAAATAAATGCAAATTAAGACTAAATATTTAACCCTTATTTTATAGCGCGCTAACTATAATTTTGCATGAAAATTCACAATTAAGGACAATGTTTGGTAGCTAATGAAATGTTAAAGTTAAAAATGATAATAAACAAGTTATATAAATGTGACAATGAATTAAATTTAAGAATTTTTAATGTGATTAAAATATGGTATATTTATAAAAATAAGCCGTGTTATATAGAGAGTTATATGGACACCACAGTACTTATTTTCAAACTTTCATCAGTTTGCATATCACATTACTGATAACAATTGTCAAAATATTTTGCTTACATGCTTTAAATTAGGTAAAATATTTGTCGCACTTTTGTAATTATTGTTTTTGAAATATGATGGGTAAATATGAATTTTTATGCTCCCTAAGGATTTTTTGGACTAAAAGTCTAAAACCTTTAGCAGAGAGGAGATGACAATAAGCGGATCTTGAAGATCTTCAATGCAATCAAATTTTGGTGTATTACAAGTAGGAGCTTTGGTGTGTATAATCATCCACCAAAAAATAATAATAATAATAATAAAATAAATAGAAAAGAACCTACGACAATAAAAGGACTCAAATGCCCCTTGATATAATAATTAGTAAGAAATTAAAATAAATTGGAACCAATGAAATAAAGCAAATAAAATGGTCTAACACATTCTGCATCAATAATTATGTGCGTTATAATGAATTTCTATGACATGTCCAACAATTGTTCGGGAAGATAATCCGAAATATGCAAGGTTCAAAGTATAGAAGATTATTGGACAATGCTGGACCAACAGGGCCATGTGGCCTTGTTCACTCAAGGCGCTGAAATGGCGCCCTCCTCTTAGTCCATGACCCTGTCCAAACAGAATAATCCAAGATTATTACCACACTCAGATTGACAACAAAACATTTATTTCGTATACACACCTTTTGTCAATGATAAACTAATGAGAATTCACGCCAAACCTTTTGTCGTTCGGTGAATTGAAAGAAACAATCAATTGGTATGACAAAAGTCTAAAAGAAAAAAAGCAAATTTAAAATTACTTGATTTATGCTCGCATAAATAGTAAGTGTGTGTTTAATTACGAGCATGAAAATAATATAAATTCTAGACAATTCAATTACCCATAACTTATTTGGATGTATATTATTGATTAAATCTGTTTGATTGACTTAGTTTTCAATTTAAAAAATATTATACTTGTCCATTTTGAAAGTGAATTACTTGGAAAATAAAAATCAACATGCTAGGTTTTAATTTGTACTGGCTATTCTTTAAATAAAAGGATTATTATAAAAGAGTTGTAAAAATCAAGGAATCTTTTGAGATGTTGTGTAGATGAACTCTAAGTTTTTTGGTTCGAATATGGAACATGGAGAAAGAGATGTCGAAATTATGCTAAGATGTCGCTAAGATGATACTCGAACATCTAAAATAGAATCATTCTCGCCCTACAATCGCTCAAGCTACACACCAGTTGCTTGCCTGGTTCTAGCTCGATGCTCAAGCGACAGTGTTTTTCAAGAACTCTAGTTCATGATTTTCAAGAGTTTTATCTATCCTATACTACCCAAATATATCTCTACTATAAATACACAAGCCCCACTTCGTGAAAAGTGTCGTCGATAATTATTTTCTACCTTCATAACATTAATTGCAGATATAACAATACTACATCTCGAGATCAATCAACCACGAGTTGGAAAAAACATCAAAATCATATAATCAAAATACCTACTTTCTAAATATAATCAAGAAGGGACTTTCTCAATAGATTTTAGAGGTTGTTGAAGATTGAGAGAGGTTGGACTAGAAGTGCAGAAAAAGTACAAGAACAAGGAGTTCTTGGTAATTAATATAAAATAGGCAATTCCAAAAGATTGGGAGCAAGTGTGAGTGAAGTTCATTCTAGCGGGTCTTGGAAAATGTAGAAATTAGATTGGGGAGTCCATTGGATTTTCTAAGGTGGATCATATTGTAAGTTCCTATTGTCTACCTGACTTGTTCCCATAGTTTTTAATCTTGTAAAAGATTTTCTCTGTCAACAAATCTCGTGTTATTTACTGATTTATTTACTATTGTGTCAATTCAACATATGATAAAAATGAATTGATTGACTAAACATATAGAACAATTAAAAGATGACTTGGTGCTTTTAATTAATAATTTTAATTTTGCGCAATTCAATTACTGGCCCTAGTTTTCGAGATGAGTAGTTCATTATCCGTCCAATCATATTTTGATTACACTAACTATGCCTATTGGAAAATTAGAATGATAGCCTTCCTAAAATTGATGGATGAGTGTATTTGGTTGAGCATAGTGAATGGTTGGACTGCCTCTTCTAGCACCGCTAATGGTGTTGTCACTCCCACTCTATATTTAATTGGCGAAAGAATGATTTAGATAAGTGTAATTGGAATAATAAGGCTTTACATACTTTATTTATGGCTGTGTCATTCGAAGAATTTAGGCGTATTTTTATGTTTGAGGTTGCTAAAGAGGTATGTCACATTTACAGACCACACATGAGGGAGCCCATGTTGTTAAGAACTCCAAGTTATAGATATTGACCACTAGGTTTGAAGATATTAGAATGAAGAATGATGAGACCTTCGTTGACTTTTATGCGAGTTTGAATGACCTAATTAATTCTAACTTCAACCTAAGTGAGAGAATTCCTGAATCTAAGATGGTCAGAAAAATTATTAGATCCTTAACTGAGAGATTTAGCCCTTATTTGAACCCCATTTTGGGGAAAAGAATGGATTTTTGAATAATGTATTGATGAAAAATGTGTGGTTAAAAAATAAGAAATTTTTTTGAATTTGCATGTAATATTATTTTATTGAAGAATGTGTGTTGAAATAATGTTAAACACACTATTGAAAATTTGATTTTTTTCTAAAGAATGAGGCTCAAACAAGGACTTAGACATAAAATCACGACTATCAAGGAGAGTAAGGATTTAGATATGATTAAGATTGAAGAATTAATTGGATCTATCCAAACTTATGAACTCGCCATATTTTAACCTAAGAAGAACAAGTCTATTGCCTTGAATACTGTTAGGGAAGAAGAATATGATTCTACTGACTCATAGACCACTAATGGATAGCTTATTTCGCTAAGAAATTTCGAAAAAATGTTTAGAAATAATAAGAAACCTCAAGAGAGTCATAGAGGTGCTCTCGGTGAGTCTAAAAAAAAGATATTAATCTGTGAGATGTCATGAGTGTCAAATGGTAAAGCTAAAATGCCACTCTCACTAATGACGGTCTAGTTCGGATACTCAAAGTGAGAGGTCTACTCATGATGAGAGTGGGAAGTTTATGGCCTTATCATCAATTATTTGAAGAGAGTCTTAAGATTAAGAAGGTGAATAAAGTTGCGCTTAAAAGGGTTAATGCACTTGAGCTAGAAAGAGAGAGACTTATATATGACTTTTAGGAATCAACCAAAAGCCTTAGTGAGTTAATATTGGTGGTGGAGAACTTAAAGGGTAATGTTAAAATTCTGATAAGCGACCTTGAGAAATCTAATGTTCAACTCCATTCCTTCTTTAGTGGATCTCAAAAGTTGGACAATATTTTAGGGTTGAACAAGCACGCTAGGAATCGGGGTCTAGGATATAAGGAGACTGATAATTATAGATATAGTATTTCCAAAACTATTTTTGTCCCTGCCATCAATCAGCTTAATTATGTTCCTAATCCTGAATTTAAGAACAAGGATATCATAGGACAGAGGCCTACTAGATAGCGTATGGCTTAACAACCGAGAAATAAATATTAGAAACTACATAATTTTGAACCTAGGTTTATCTCTACTTGTTTTAATTGTGGTGAGTTAGGACATGTAAGACCTAATTGTCGTAAATTCCTAAATTGAAATAGAAATAGAAATCCAGATTTTGATAGTCGGATTTACTTCCTCACTAATAGGTGAGTCAATTGACCAAGTCAATGACAAGATTGACTCGAAATAAGTCTTCCACTCAACAAGTATGGGTTAAGAAGAGTGATTTCTATAATTAGAGAAATGCTCTAATGATGTGTATGTGTTGCTCTTCAAGGGTAGAACAGTTTGATGCCTCAGGAGGTTGGTATTTTTGGTGTATGCTTTTGCTTTTGTGTTTTGCATATCTTTTATTTTTATTTTGTGTGTTTGGTGCATTCATGCTTTATTAATTACTAGTCGATGCCACGTGCGTTGTATGATTATTGTATTTAATGTGTTTTTATTAGCGTGATGTAGAGATTTTTAGTTTTCTTGGCATAATCCTAATATGCTTTTGAAATTTGAATTAAGTTTTTTGGCATGAATTTGTGGGAATATAAGTAAAAGATAATTTATAATTTTGTACGAAGTCGCCACACAAACTGTGCCGGGACTCCACACCAATTTCGTGCGGAGTCCCTGCACCATCCGCACCAATTTCATGCGGGGAAGTCCCCGCACAGTTTATGCGGGGTCCCCGAACCAAAATCTACCTGAGATTGTAGAGGTGGTTGGTGGTGCACATACAGCTCGGGTATGTTTTCAAGAACTGTTTAGAGGGCATTATAGAATTTTACATTATCTGCACGTTTGTGATTCCTGTGTACAATTTGCATCAATCTTCTTGTCGTAGTTTTGCATCCCTATCTCCCTGCAACGCTCTCTATAGGTGTGGTTGGAGTAGTGGTTAGCACAAAAAACTTGTTGGCTCTTTACTGTTCAGTATAAAAAATAGAAAACTTTGATTCATTTGCTTCTTGAACAACAGAGATCTGACTCAATTTTGAAGATAATTGTGTCGAAATAATAAAATTATGGTTGAGGTTCAGGGAATCACCCAATTAATACTAACAAAATAAGGATAGAAACCAACCACGGTCATCGGAGGCACATTTAGAGGGAGAATACAAAGAGGGATCACGACACACCTTGTTGGGTTCGTAGTCGATCTCAGTACCAATGCCACCAGATAGAGAGAGAGCAAAGATCTATACACAAATTCATAGATTCCTACGAAATGCTGTTGTGCTCCACCTTTTTCTTTTCCATTCTTCCCCAAGTATACATAAGATTAAAAAGATATATACTGTCATTAAATTTATTCAAAAAGAATGCGAAGGGTAATGGTTTGCCTTCAATTTTTTGGAAGGCAATTCATACATAAAAAGATTAATCTAATTCAGATGGATTTTTCTAAATCGCTGTATTTTTTTGAGCCTTATACAAGTAAGCTAAAAGTTGATGTAACCCCTTTCGGGGGAATTAAATGCATACGTATTAAATCTATATTGTAAGTAGACTTGAAGCAATAAATTGTTATACATGCATATTAATTTTCTATTTTCGAATATAAAACTACAGTAAAATTAGTACTTTTGATGATGTTTAGCAATTAAAATGAGGCCTAGAGTATCGATTTATGAGTTAAAATTTCTGAATTAAGTCCTCTGTGATTGCAGTTGTAAATTTTGCCAAAAACAAACAGCAAAATCACAACTCAAAATCTTAGCGTGAAAAAGGCCCCAATGAACAGGAAAAGGTTTTCATGACAATGCAGAGAACAGACCTCTGTCATTCTTGTCATTTGGACTTTCACCAGTCTCAATCTTCACAAATGTATCCCTATAAAAGCAAATACTAAATCTATTGCAGTATCAATAATAGATAAAAATAAATTTCTTTTCTTTATACATAAAAGTAATCAGATTTAACATGACCAAAATGATAATAGCAAGGATATGCATACATAAACTTATTAAACCTTCTTAAGATGAGTTGTTGTCTTCCCCGGCTATATCATATAGTGTACGATTATACCGGCAATTACTTGGTGAAGGTCAGATTCCTTCAATTGAATACAGTACAGCCTGTGTTCCAGCCTTAAGTTCCAGCTTCATCTTCAGCTGAAGTACTACAACCTGTGTCTAGCTTTGTGTTCCAGGCTTCCAACTTCATCTGGAACAAGAGTACTAAAATCTGTGTTCCAACCATGAGTTCTTGCTTCATCTAGGGCCGGAGTAGTATGACCTATGTTCCAGCCTTGTGTTCCAGTTTCATCTTCAGCGGGAGCACTATGGCCAGTGTTCCAGACTTGAAATCCAGAAATTTTGACATTTGAAACTGTATGTCACCGATTTTCGATTCAATTGGAGATAAAAGGCTCAGTGTTGTGGCATCCACATGCAAAGAATTGCAAGACTCGAGGGTCTTTTCGTCGAATCTCAATGGTGTAGATGATGCAGCTGTAACGGAAAAAGGATTAGTTGCAATATCAGCTGGTTATCCAAATCTGAATTCACTACTTTATTTCTGTCAGCAGATGACCAATGCTGTACTTATTACAAGATTCCCCCAGTTTTATTCATTTTAGATTTGGCATTTTTAATGCAATCATACCTGATGAAGTGACAATGCAACCAGCCAACCACTTGATGAAGGTTTTCGAGCAATTGTCCAGTCGTGCAAAGGTCTGAAGCATTTGCCAATCTCCGACCTCGTAACTAATCAAGTCTTTCTTTACATAGTAATATACGCTAAACAGCTTCAAATGTTAGTAATATACGCTAAACAGCTTCAAATGTTATGAATTGCCTTTGCTGGTAACAGCAACAAGGGAATGCTGTATGCATTGAATGGGTGCAAGAAATTAAGAAGGCAAAATGCGTGTATCTATTATCGAAAACAATTATTAATGGAATATAATAACTGCATACTTTATTTCAAACTTCGAAATGTTAATTTAAAAAAAAAAAAAAAGAAAAAAAAAAGAAAAAAAGGGAATTGATGTAAAGGAGAATATGGTAGTTAACTGAAGTGTAAGTGCATGGCAATTTTATCAGTTCAAAATTATCAAATATCTTGAAAACCATCTTACCGTTTTAATGAAGGCTTCAAGTTAAATAGGTCCCTCAATCAGCCTTTCTTGCAATAGTTGTTTTCTGAAGTTTACAAGAAGAAATCAATACAGAAAAAGAATGAATAGAAGAATATTATCATCTGGAACCTAAAATAAGGGGTTTGCAATAACTTAAGAATTCTGTGTTTCCATTATCATTTGCCACTCACCAGGAACCAGAATGTCATTGCGAGGACCTGCAAAATAATGTTGACTAATTGAATTGGATACAAAAACTGTCTCAGACTTTCTTTTGGTTATATGGAAATATAGATCATTTAGCAATTACATTCCCCTAAGAAGATCTAAGGATGAAAGGAAAATGTGGTATTGTTAAAAACCTGATTGTTCTAGCTTTCTTCATATTGTCCTCCGCTGAATCGACCTTGGTATCCGATCCAAACCATGGAAGCCTAGCTTTTTTCCTTGCTTTCTCTTCTACAAATGCCGACTGGACAATCACAAAAAAAAAAAAAAAAAAAAAAAATGAAAAAAAAAAAAAAAAAAAAAAAGAATTTCTCCAAACTCTCTGGAGATTTGGAGTAAACTCTTCGGAGAGTTTGGAGAAACTCTCCGCACTGTGCGAAGAGAGTTGATTTCTTCGCACAGTTCGAAGAGATCACTCGATCTCTCCGCACAGTGTGGAGTTGCTACGACAACTCCGCACACTTTGTGCGGAGTGTGTAGAGTAACTCCGCACTTTGTGGAAGCATATGTTAAAGGCAAACTAAGAAAATAAAAAATCAAATAGTTTGAATTTAAGAAAATTAAAGAGAATAAAAAAAGAAAGAAAAATGGGGAAAAAATCGTAGTTCAGTCCGTGCGAATCATCCGAAGAGTTTGAAGATACCTCGACATTGGTGAAAAACTATGGTAATCTAAAAAAATAAAAAATCAAATAGATAAAACGAAAAAAAAAAAACCAAGAGCGAAGAGTTTAGAGACTCTCTGTAGAGTTTCTCTCCAAACTCTTCGTACAGTTCGAAGATATCAATTGATTGCTTTGTACAGTGTGGAGAGATTTTTTTTTTTTTTTTTTGTTAAGCTATTTTATTTGTTTCTTATGTAGGAATGTTTACATATATATTATATATCAAAGGTAAACTAAAAAAAAATAAAAAATCAAGTAGTTTAAATTTAAGAAAACGAAAGAGAATAAAAAGAAAGAAAAACTTGGAAAACAAATCTAGATCCAGAAACTTTGAAGATAGTGAAAAAATATGGTAATATGAAAAAATAAAAAATCAAATAAAAAAATGAAGAATAAAAAAAAAAGTTTCTCTAAACTCTCTAGAGAGTTTGGAGAAACTCTTCGCACTGTGCGAAGAGAGTTGATCTCTCCGCACAGTTCGTAGAGATCACTTCATTTCTCCACACAGTGCAGAGTTGCTTCGCACTTTGTGCGGAGTTGTTCGTAACTCCGCACACTTTGTGCTGAGTAACTCCGCACTTTGTTGGAGCAATTTTGCACTTTGCTCCCATAAAGTGCGGAGTTACTCCACACAGTGCGGAGCAATTTTTTTTTTAAAGTATCAACAATAAAATTAGCAAAATTAAATCTTCGGTATTCCAACAAAATGAATTCACCAAATTAACATCACATATCACACTAAAGCAATACTTTCTTGGTATTCCAACAAAAATGAATTTACCAAATTAACGTCAATTTACCCAACTAAAATCAGGCAATACTTTCTAGGAAAATAATTAATTATGCAGCCTAAACTTGAAGGTGGAAAGGAAAATATGCATTTTTTATACAACTTGGAACAAAATCTAAATCAATTCCATAAAAAAAAATACGAAGAAAATACTACTAACCATTACAACCAGCAAAATTTTTCTTCGAGAAGAAAGGGGAGTAGAAAGAGATATTTAAATTCATACACCTCTTCAACTGTGTAAATCAATTAATAAAAATTATTGTACTTGAAAATAAGGAGTATGGTTGCCTAGTATGGTCACCAAAAATAGGGAGCAAGAAAGAAGAAAAAAAGAGAACTTCAACAGTGAAAAGTAGGAAAAATATATAGACAAAAATGACGTCATTTTCTTCTCTCTTGTACAGTAAATTGGGATTCATTTACTGTTTCATCAACAGTGACAACTCGTTGAGCTTTTTAATAGAAGTTAGAAAAAATAGAAAATGAAAGAATTTTTGACATTACAACATGATATATGAGTTACTTGAACGAGTTGTGATCAAGTTTGAGTTTAATTAATGTGTTGTAGAATATTTTTCTATTATTTATTTAGATTTTTATGGAGTACTTAATATAGTTTTATTCATGTACCATATGCACTATACACACTATTACGATATTAACTATGCGTATGAGATTTGGGATGGCAGTGATATGTTGGCAAGGTAACTTTGAACATGAAACTGACCTTGTTCTAGTAGATCTAATCTCAAGTATATTCTTTTAAAAGAAAAAGTTCAATATCTTATATTCTTCTTTGTAGCCTATTTGATCCGAGCAATTAAGCTTGAGAGTTTCTTATAATTTGGTGCCTATGGTCATCTGATTTGGGTTAACTCATCTAAAACTCGTTAAATGGGTCATTTTAGGCGCTTAATGAAGAAGATGTTTCACGTAAGATTAAATAAATAAATAAAATTGATAAGCTTTAAAATTAGAAAAGAAAAAATTATTTATATGCTAAAATTCATGGAGAGAAAAGAATAATATACATAAAATGAGCTTCTTTTGTAGGCTCTAGTATGCCATTATTAGTTTGACTTTCATAAGTAGATGAATAAATTTATTGACAGTGATATTTAGCATGTCATTTCTCACAAAATTAAGGTTTGGAGTCCTACTCAAAAAGGATTAGTGGCACTTTATACATATGGGCCACTTATACAATTTACTCCATTTGGACTTGAACTGAATAAGTGGGAAATTCGCTGCTCATTGATTATGCTTGTGCATGGTATTAACTGCATCTTTGAGTTACTATATATTGTTGTTGATTTTATATAATGAATTTGAATGAAAAATTAAAATAGGAGAAGAAAGATGATTACATTTGATATAGAGACCGTTTAGTATAGATTAAAATATGAATTTCATCTAAGTTAAAGTCAAAAAGTCAATATTAACCACATCTTTCATAGATACCACAATTTTTCATCCAAATATTTCAAAATCTTGAATTACAATCTACTAAAAAAATCTAATTTTAATCCCTACCAAACACCCTCATAATTTCATTTGTCATTTGTGACAAAAAGGGGAAAAGATGAGTGGCAATTTATTTCGCTGCATTTTAGGAAGAGTTTGTAGTAAGGGATAGACGATAGTATTTCATCGCATTCCATACCCTAATGCATCATAATGCATAACTTTTTTGAATTTATATATTTTATAATATTAATGTTTCAGTTGGTGTTTTGATTAACATTAATATTACTTCTCAATCTAGCTTGCATATTTATGATAGCGTCTTTCAATTGTTATGTTTCCTATTTCACGTGTTTTTACACTTCTTATTATAGTTGTTGATTTTAGAAAATAGGTTTATCAAGGAATAATAGAGACGGACATTCAGTTTGAGTTTGGTAGATTAATTTTATTTTATTTCCTTAACTTGTATTATTTAGTTTTGTTACAGCAGTCTTTTGGGATGTTGTATGGATGAACTAAGAACCTTTGGGATCGAGTATGAAACATGGAGAAAGAATCGACGGAATGAACTTATTGACAGTGATATTTAGCATGTCATTTCTCACAAAATTAAGTTTTGGAGTCTTACTTAAAAAGGATTAGTGGCATTTTATACACATTGGTTACTTGTACAATTTACTCCATTTGGACTTGAACTGAGTAAGTGGGAAAGTTCGCTGCTCATTTATTATGCTTGTGCATACTATTAACTGCATCTTTGAGTTACTATATATTATTGTTGATTTTATATAATGATATTTGAATGAACAATAAAAGTGGGAGAAGAAAGATGATTGCATTAGATATAGTTTCCTTTCTCATTTGTGACAAAAGGGGGACGAGATAAGTGGCATTTTATTTCACTGCATTTAGGGAGAGTTTGTACTAAGAAAGAGATGATAGTATTTTATGGCATTCCATATCCTAATTCATAGCTTTTTGAATTTTTATATTTTATAATATTAATATTTTAGTTGGCGTTTTAATTAACATTAATATTACTTCTCAATCTGGTTAGTATATTCATGATAGTGTGTTTCAATTGTTATATTTTCTATTTCATGTACTTTTACACTTCGTATTTTAGGTGTTGATTTCAAGAAACAAGTTTAACAAGGAATGCTAGAGACGGACATTTAGTTTGAGTTTGGGTAGATTAATTTTCTTTTTATTTCCTCAACTTGTATTATTTAGTTTTGTTACAGAATGTCAAAGGGAGAGTTTATTAGGTTTTAATTTGTATTGGCTATTTTTTAAACAAAATGATTATTATAAATTTATAAAAGATAAGGAGTCTTTGGGAATGTTGTAGAGATGAACTAAGAGCCTTTAGGTTCGAGTATGGAACATGGAGAAAGAATCATCAAAATTATACTAGCCTATCACTAAGCTGATACTCGAGCATCTAAAATAGAATCATTGTTGCCCACCCTTCACTCACTTGAAGTTAGCTCGATGCTCGAGCAACAATGTTTTCTAAGAAACCTTTGTTTGCAATTTTCAAGAGTTCCATCTATCCTGTAGTATCCCAATACTCCCTCTACTGTAATTACACAAGCCCCACTTCGTGAAAGGGGGTAATGGATCATTATTTTCTACCTTTATAACATTCGTTGGAGATCAAATAACAATTCTTCACCTTGAGATCAATCAATCACGAGTAGGAAAAAAAATCAAAATCATATAATCCAAAACACCAACTTCCTAAAAATAATCAGAAATGTACTTTCTCAATAACTTTAAGAGGTTGCTAAATATTGAGGGAGGTTGGACCATACGCAAATGAAGAATACAAGAATAAGGCGTTCTTGGTGATTCATAGAAGATAGACAATTTCAAAAGATCGAGATAGGTGTGACTGAAGTATTTTTCAGGGGGTCTTGGAGATTACAAGAATTAGATTAGCGAGTCTAGTGGGATTTCTAGGACGGATAATACTGTAAGTTCTTATTGTTTGTAGTGAAAGTCATTGGTTTGGCCTCGAAATTTTTAATCCCATGAAGGATTTTTCTGTCGACAAATCTTGTGTTATTTATTTCTTCATTAACTAATAAGGCAATTCAACATATGATAAAATTGACTTGATTGACTAAACATCTAGAACAATTAAAATGTGCTTTTAATTGGTAATTTTAATTCAGCGTTATTCACATATTCATCCCCTCTAGGCGATGTTGGTGTCAAACTAGTTACTTTCAAGTAGTCTCAAAGCCTCTTTTTTTTATATTAATTAATTTCTATATATCCATTTATTATTATTATTTTTTTTTGCTCTATCAA